CAGGCTTAAAGGCCCCAAATACAACTTCAGATTCTTATTTTAGATCCCTTCTTATTTTTATATAAGATCTTCAAAAATCCCCTCTAACTCAAACCAGAACAAAACCTAAATGTCCAGGGGCACCTGGGTGGCTCAGTCCATCAAGCGACTGACTTTGGCTCAGGTCATGATCTCATAGTCTGTGAGTTCGAGCTGCGTGTCAGGCTCTGTGCTGATGGCTCAGTACCCGGAGCCTGCTTTGGACTCTGTGTCTCCTTCTCTCTCTGCCCCTTTCCTGCTCATACTCTGTCTCTGTCTCTCTCTCAAAAATTAAATAAACGTTTAAAAAAAACCCTAAATGTCCAATAAATGCGGACTGGTACATAAATGATATCCACAGCTGCAATGGACTATTATTTAGTCATTAAAAATGAGAACGGTAGACCCGCCTTGCAAGAAATGTTAAAATAAGTTCCTAAGAGAAAAGGAAAATACAGGTCAGAAACTCAGACATACACAAAGAAAGGAAGAGCGCTGAAGGAGTAAGGGAAGGTAAAATAAAATGATGTTGGCCTTCTGCACCAGTCAATGATGGGATGCTTGCCTCTTTAACTCCAGCTTATCTCTCTCTCTCTTCTCGGGCTTGTACAAAAAAAAACACAAGATGAAAAAACAGACCCCTTATGATGCATAATATTGCCTTCCCTTTCTTCCTCCAAAAGTAGCCGTTGTAAATACTTTCTTAATGTTTGAGTTTCATTCCAAAAAATATAGGCATGAAATATTTTATACAAAAGGGATAATTGTTTTGTATCTTGCTTTAAAAACAACCTTATCAGGGGCATCTGAGTGGCTCAGTCAGTTAAGCATCCGACCTCCGCTCAGGTCATAATCTCACGGCTCATGGGTTTGAGCCCCGCATCGGGCTCCGTGCTCACAGCTAGCTCAGAGCCTGCTTCAGATTTTGTATCTCCCTCTCTCTCTGACCCTCCCCTGCTCACACTGTCTCTCTCTCTCTCTCTCTCAGAAATAAATAAAAACATTAAAAAAAAACCCTTATCAATATATATTATTAATCTTTCCATGTCAGCTCAATCTAATTTACTTTACTGTTGTAATGACTTCCACATAAAATTTTCTTCTTTTTTTTTGAGGGCGGATACCTTTTTCTGGTGAATTGCCTATCTATAGACACTGCTCAGCTTTTTAAAAACAGGGTTCTTTCTTCTTTCCTATAGTTTGTATGAGTTCTTCATAAATTAGGTAAATTGGTCTTACACCTGACATGAGCTGCAAGCATTGTCTCCCATTTTCTTAGCTTTTGGAAAATGTATGGAATTTTTCCTGAAACTTAAGTTTATTTATGTTTATAAATGTTTATAGCTTTTATTGTTTCTTGATTTTATCACCGTTTGTGAGTTCGAGCCCCATGTCGGACTCTGCACGGACCCTACCCACCTCATCCTGTCTCTGTTTCTCTCAGAATAAATAAATAAACTTTAAAAATAAATAAGCATATAGATACATTTGGAGGGGTTTCCATCTCCACTCTTTCCATCTCTTTTATCTCCACTCTTCCCTTTCAGAATTTCCCTGGCTGTTGTGAGCCATTTAATTTTGATGAACTGTGGCAATTTTTAAAAATCCTGTTGGTATTTTAATGGAGATTGCTTTAAATTTAAAGATTGATTTGGGGAAAATAAACATCTTTATGCCTTCATTATTGAATCTTGCTAGAAAGAATAAATTATATCTTTTATTTTACTTAAGGCTTCCTTTATGTCCCTCAGTAGGGTTTTAAAGTTTCCTTCATAAAACTTGCACATATTTCTTGTTAAATTTATTCCTAGATATTTCATCATTTTATTGCTATTATAAATGGGTCCTCCACAGTGTTGGGAAGAGGTAATGGTGATAAATGGAAACACGTGAATGGATTAACCCTTTGACGGAAAGGGGAGAAAGGGAGTAAGTTAAAGACAGATACGATATTCTGAAAGTCTTATTCTTACTGCGCAAATATGGTACTTATTCCAAACAACATATATTTAAAAAACAGACATGTTGCCTCCCTTCATTATTGTTTCACCTAACCTTGTTCTCTCAATATTTACTCACTCTTTTTGTTAGATGAGCTTTAAAGCTAACCCCAAAACAGACTGTTTCTCACTTACTCTTCTAAAAAAGAACATAAAAACAACCAATATAAAACAGTATTTGACACAAGTCATAAATATGGAAAAAGAAGACATAAAAATGGCCAATAAATACACAAAAATGTGCTTTTTCAGGCAGAGAAATGTAAACCTTATAAAAATTAGGTGCCATTTATGTGCCTAGGCGACTGACAAATATAAAATTGATTGATAATATGCAGTGTTAGTGAGGGCATAGAGAAAGGTTTTCTCACATACCTTTGGTGGGATTTTAAATAGGTAAGATGATTTGGAGGGCTTTTTGGCAATATCTATGAATATTTTGAATGCACATACCTTTGACCCAGCCATTCCACCTTCTAGGGACTCCTACGAAGGTACTCAAGCCCCAAAAGATCCGTACACAAGCTGACATGCTGTTGAGATACATGAGTTTACCATCAGGAGGAGCTCCTTCGAATTGGATGGTACACGTGTTCTCTCAATTGTTAAATATTTCAAATATAATTGGATTATCTTTTTGTGCTTAGGTACAAATAAATTGTTTCAACACTCATCACTAAACAAATTGTTACTTAAATGAAAAAAGCATTGCAGAATATCATTCTTGTTTGGATCATTGACCAGGGGTCAGAATGACAGGACAAATTATGTCATTTCCCCAGACTCCAACAACTTCCTCTGTCAGATGGGGTAATAACAAGGAGTCTTAAGGTTGTTTTCAGGAATAAGTAAGACTAAATAGGTGAAGTGTGTACATACTCCCTGGCATGTTATATACAATAAATGATTGTATTATTTTTATTAATGATTCTTAACAGTCTCAATTTCATTTTTCTTTCTTCCTTCTTTCCTCTCTTTCTTTCTTTTTCTCAAAGTAAGCTCTCTACTCAATGTGGGGCTCGAATTCACGACCCTGAGATCAGGAGTCACATGCTCTACTGACTGAGCCAGTCAGGTGCACCCCTTTTCAGCCTCATTTTCATGCATTATTTTGTTTAATAAATATTTATTGGGTACCTATGATGTGTGAGGCATTGTGCTCAGTGCATTAAGGTTTAACAATGAGCATATAGTTTAGTAAGGGAATCAGAGGAAAATAAACAAGTTAACAGTCAAATAAACAAAATAATTAAAAACTATGGCTATGGGAGAAGTAAAGAAATGGCTGAGCTTAGATCTGTGGTTCTCAAACAGAGGTAATCCCTGCCTCCTCCCTTCTTCCACACCATTTCCATCCCCTCTGGAGGACATCTGGCAATGTCTAGAGATGTTTTTATTTGTCACAATTTGGTGGGGAGGGTATTACAAGCAAGTGTTGGTTAGTGGCCAGGGATGCTGCTTAACAATGCACAGGTCAGCCGCCACAACAAAGAATTATCCAACCCTAAATATTAACAGGGCTGTGGTTGAGAAACCCTGAACTAGATGGGGAGGGCAAGCAGTCACAGAAGACTTCTCTGACGTGACATTTAGGCCCAATTTTTACTGGTGCAAAACAGCCAGACTTGCAGCAGAGTGCTGCAGGCCCAGCCCAAGCAGAGGGGACTTGAAAACAACAGGTACAACAGTGTACGTATTATACATGTGTGTCTGTGGGGAGTGAAGGGGACAATTAAGAGATCTCTTATGTTTCACTCTGTATGGCTTTCTTATTGAGAATACTTTGTTTTTAATTTAAAAATGGGGAAAAGGGGAGAAAAGTACAGAAAGCAGGCAGGTTGGAAGACTGCCTCTTGTAAAACTATAGATAGATTTAAAAGAAGGGGGAGATTTTAGAGCAACCCCAGTCCCGGTCAGGAGGCCCCGGTGTGTAATCTGTGGTTAGTCTCTGCTTTTCACCCCTCCAATGAATGACAGAGATCACCTGATTTAAAGCCAAATAATCTATGTCCAACACTTGCTTTTATACCTTTTAGTTCTGTTACATTTGCTGTTACTTAACTTGACTATAAAGGGGTAAAAAAAATAACCCACTTACAGTTTGTGTATTAAGCAAGATAATTTAAATAAGTGTTCTGGGGTGCCTGGGTGGCTCAGCCGGGTGAGTGTCCCATTCTTCGTTTCAGTTCAGGTCATAGATCTCGTGGTTCATGAGTTCGAGCCCCACTTTGGGTTCTGCGCTGACAGTGCTGAGACTGCTTGAGATTCTCTCTCTGTCCCTCCCCTGTTCACTCTCTCTCTCTCAAAAAAATAAACTTAAAAAAAAAAAAGTATTTCATAAACTGGAAAACACAATACAGATCCATGCTGTTGAGAATAAGGGGGGAAATTTGTGCTCCACAAATAATCTTTTTGTTTGCTCTGTCCCCTTGATTCCAAACCCTCTGTAAGTAGTGAGCAATATGGACTAGACTAGAGAGGGGAAAAGACTGAGAAAGGAAGTGCAAGCCAGGAGAAAAGTGATTACAAACCAACGTAGTAGCACCAGTTTTACATTATTCATGTAACCTAGGCGAAGAGAGTAATCCTGACGGATAAAATCACAAGATAGTTGTAACCCAGGCCCTTGAAAAGACAATGGCCAGCTTCTCCTTAAGCAGCCCAAGACCCTCTGACCTGAGATGTGAAACGATGATTATAGAATGCTCATGCCCCGTCTGGAGCCCTGTAGTCGCATACTTTATAAAAGTATCTGTTCCCCAGAGACTAGAAGCAAATGTGAGTCACCATTCTTGCTGGAGGGAAACTTGCTCCATCAATGGTTGTCCAGTAGATGAATGAAGTAAATACATTCTCTGATCACTCGACAGACCTGGTATGGACATAAAAAATAACTGCACATATTGACACACTTTCCTGGTTTCTAAGTTTCTTTCTCAGTTTTTGTCTTTGAAGGTCTGCAGGCTGTGAAAAGTAACTTACACAACTCGGTGTGTTTTCTTGGCCTTGAGGCAGTTTCAAAGGATAGGATGACACCAAATGGAACTATGTGTGCCTGGAGGGAAAACATAAATAATGGTGAAAAATGTGTATCTGCAGCCTTCTCCAGCATGAGGCACTTTCTCACTTTTACTCACATAATTTTCCAATTTAACATGCATATGAATTCAGCCAACAATAGGCAGCAAAAGCGAATCCATATCATTTCCTTTAGCACTGAAAAGAAACTCAAAAGTCCCTGGAACGGTTTTATAGAGAGGCCTTGCCTAGGACATTAAAGGACTGACAGAGCCAGAATGGAAACTTGTTTTTCCACCTTGAGAAAAGCAAATAAACAAAAAATACCGTAAGCAATTGCTGGTTTTTCCGAGCCCACTCTTTTGGGCTGTTTTTCTTCCCTGTGTTATGCAGACTCCGGGCACTTTCTTCCCAGAATGCAACAATCCAAAGCTCCAAACAAGTTTGGGACCGGCCTTGTGGTGGGGGTGGGGGTGGGGGTGGGGGTGGGGGTGGGGGTGGTCGTGGGGGGTAAGGGTCGGAGGATCCACTGGAGAGCCACCACCCGGAATGGTGCCGGTGTTCCTCTTGGGAGCTTTTCTCCGTATTTAATAACAGCTTTGATAGGATTTGCTCGAGCATTGGCCGGATCAAGCTGGACCTCCAGCAAGAAAGTTTAAAGTTCGACTCTTTTTCTTCGCATTTGAAAGAGGCTTTTAATGCTCCCCGCCCCTCCCCCTTCCCCTGTAAAGTTTGCTTTCTACCTATAAAGTCGCTTCATCTCTCGGTTTCCATCCCGGTTGCCTGAGAATCGCAGTAATTAGCCAAGTTCACTTCGACGAGGAAAAAGATACCTTTGTGTACCTAATGAGAGCCACCGCGTGGCCAACGATCACCACGCAGACGGAAACATTTTTGTCCCGGGCTTCTGTAAGCGGGGAGGGGGAGGGCTAAGCCGACCCGAAGGCGTGTTTTGCTGAGTGGCTTCGAAAGCGGCCGAGGCAGCCGAAGCAGCTTTCGAAGTTAGCAAACAAAGCGTCTCCCCAGTAACCGCCCGGTTGCAGACGAGGCTCCTGCCACTCAGACCGCGGAGCCGCAGCGTCGGCCGGCCCCCGGCTCCTCCTCCCTGCGTCTCTCCTCCCTCCTCTCCAGTTCCCCAACGGATACCGGCCACCAATCCCAGCCACAAACAACCCTTCAAATGCTGGGACGCGGCGGCCCTCTAACGGGCGGCCTCCGGCTCGCTCCCCGCCCCACATCTGTCCCGCACTCGGGCGCAGCAGCTGATTCATCTCCAGCCAGGCCCGGGGAAGGAACTGCGCTCCAGCAAGTTGCAGAGTAGCTTCCAGGCTGGTGGTTTCCCCCAGGACCATGCTTCCCCCACTCTGCCGTTTTAGATGTGTGTTCTCATAGGTGCCGAGCAGTCGGCAAACCACAGAAGAAGAGAAAAAAAAAAAAATCAGAAGGTTACTGCCTTCTTAGAATGACGCTTCTTTCCTTGTTTATTCATTTTAAGTCCTGTAATTGGTAAAACCACCCAAGTTTTGTAAACTCTGGCCTTAATTCACTCTCGAGGCGGGGGTGTCTTTTTTTGGGAAGGCGAGTGGGTGGGAGGCTGGCTTTAATTTTCAGTGTGATGCTAAAACAGAGGCTCCAAAGTCTAGTTAGTCATCGTTTGGCTGCCTCAGTCCTCCTCGGGTTTAACCTTATTTCCACGGAGCTTTTCCTGCCGGCTTCTCCATCGAGGTTGCAAAACAAAAACAGCACAGAGCCGAAACTGGAGGCTGACTCCGGCGCTGACGTCTCTGCTAGGTTTATTCACGGTTGTGTGTGTGTGTGTGCTTTTTTTTTTTTTAACTGATGGGGAAAGTCAGGCATGCGACCGTTCGTTTACTTCAAAACAACGGGACACACACGCGAAAACTAGACCCAGCGGAGAGGGCGGGGAGGGGGCAGGCGTTTGAGATCAGCCAAACAGCATCTGGTCTTTTAAAAGGGTAATCTCATCAAGGAACTCCTGTTGGAGTCCCAACTCTCAACCAAAATAAACTAACAGGAACATGTGTTTGCTCAATGGCTAGTTTCTGTTTGAAATACCCGAGGGGAGAAATGGTCCCCTAACAGGGTTGAAGTCCTAAAAGTAGACTGTTTAACGGAAACAGATGAGCAGCCCCAGCGTGGTCGCCCCCTTTCCTTAAAGGCGGCAGCTGCTGGGGTCCGAGGATAGGCGTTTCAGGCCGAGTCGCGGGCGGGCGGGCGGGCGCCCGGGCAGTCCCCAGGCTGAGACTTTTAAAGAGCATGTGAGCATGACAAGTGTCTGTCCGCAACGTGTTAGGTTTTGAAACTGCCTAGCAATCCATTCCGGAACTCGCAGCTTTAGCCCCGGGTAACAGACATTCGCCTGGGGTGTCTGTGTCTCACTCTCCTCCCCTAATTGCCCCCCACCCCCACCCCACCCCGCCGTCTCTGTGGGAGGAAGAGCCCCAGGAGGAGCAGGGTGCGCCGCGCCGCGCCCGCGTGTCAATGGCAGCCGCGCATTCTGGAAGAAGTTGGTTCTTGTCCTGAATACTTTTCCTACGGTGCCCCGCCCCTTGAATCAGAAGCAGCTGTCTTCTCCTCGCGGCTAGAGAGGGGACGGTGGAGTTTGGGGCAGCTGTCAAAAACGAGAGGGAAGCCTTTTCTTCCCTGAGGTGGAGGAGGGGGGCAGCCTTTTTCCATCTGTTGCAATTTCCTAACCAAACGCACCCTCGCCTGCCCAAGGAAGAAAGGCCCAAAGGAGAAACCCGGGCGCTCGGCTGGTGCCGCCGCCGCCGAGCGAGGGATGCGGGCGGCGAGCGCGCAGCAGGGAGGAAGGCTCGGGTTTCTGGGCTCAGCCGCCCCCACGAGGGACGGGTGACAGCGGCCGGCCAGGCGCGGCGTGGGGCGGCGCGGCCCGGGCGCTCGGTGCCGGCCTCCCTGCCTGGAAGGTGCGGGGGAGGGGCGGAGGAGCGGCTGGGCGGGCGGGGGACGGGGCGGGCGGCTGGGGGCGGAGGCAGGACCTCCTGTACCTTCCCTCTTCGCCTCTCTCACTCTGACAGCGCCGAGGTACGCCGAGCAGGAGCGGGGAACAAAGGAGAGGAGTGGGGAGGGGAGCGAGTGGGGCGAAGGAGAGCCCCCCCGGACGACTGCCTGAAGATCCCGGCAGGAGGAAGCCCAAGTGTCACTTGAATTCCACCCTAGGAGCGAGCGCCCGAGATCCGAGCGCCTTGATCAGCAATAACGGCTGAGCGCGTCCTGTAAGTTACGGGAGAGTCGGCCGGGAAGGAGGACAATCGCTTGCCCCCTCCGTCCCCGCTCCTGGCCCCTCGAGACCCCAGCATCGCCTAGCGCTGGAAGGGGAGCTCCAGAATGAAAAGCAAGAAAGGTAAGACTCCACGGGCTGTGCGCGCCGCGGGCGCGGGTCCGAGGAAACGTGCTCGCGGGGCCCCGCCAGGCTGGGGGCGAGAGTGACTTGGTGGACTTTTCAGCCCGGGGCTCACAGGCAGGAACCGCGGCCGTTCTCTTTGTTGAGACTGCGTCCGACATGGCAGTTGCTGTTTTCCTTCTAGACACAACACGAGGGGCTGTTGTGGGGAGACGGGCCTCTCCACGCTGCTGGCACGTTGTCAAGAAACACGCTCAGCGCCTTGTTTGTGCGCCTCCAAGTTTCATTGTCTCAGCCGCCACCCCACGCTCCGCGGAGCCGCCGCGTGGCTTCTCGCTTGCTCTAGTGCGCGGGGGTGTGGGCCCGGGTCGGGGGGACCCCCGCCCCGATTCTCCCGAGCTGGGCCCGGGGCGGTCGCGACCACCGAGCGGCGGCGCCTTTGTCTGAAAGTTGGACTCTGGGGCCCCCACTCCCTCCCAGCCGGGCCCCGGGCACCCTTTTCGCTGGGGATGGGGTGTTTTCACAATCGCAGAATGCGACTCTGGCCCCCAAACCGCTCTCGGGCGTCCATAGCTTTGGGAAGTTCGACTTTTAAAAACTCCCAGCCTCTCAAAGTTTTCCCACGATGAATTTGGGGCAAGATGAAGAGTTAGGACTGAGGGCAAGCAGCTTAAAGCGGCGTGTGGTCAGAACGAGTCCAAGTGTGACAAGCAGGCTTGGTTGTAAGTGCACAGAGTGAGTCTGTCATTGTTTCCACGAAGCGTCCTGGAAGCGTTACAACTAAAACTTGCCGTCAATCTGGTTTAAAAACAAAATACACAGAAAGAAAGAAAGAGAAAAAAAAAAAAACCCACCGGCCCGAAAGGTCAAAGAATGTTAACTCCCTTTTGAAGTTAACTTTTGAGTTCCTGGCTGGGAGGTACCCCGAACGTTCCGTGGTGAGCCAGAGTTGGCTTTTCTGTTGTGATTTATGTGGAGTGGTTCAAAACAGAAGTTAATCGCTCAGGGAAGCCAGCGCAGGGGCGGGTTGGGGGGGGGGGCGCTGCTGCGCATGCCCAGGAACGTCCCCGAGTTTTTGTAACTCACATTCTTTCAGACTAGTGCAGCGGATACAGTGAAAACCCAATATCGTTGGGGGCCAGGCTCCAACCCGAGGGTGCCCTCGGCCACGTTTTCATCTTGGTGTTCTGTGACTCTGCATGCCGGGCTGGTGGCTTCCAAACACGCGGAGCTTCCCAACCCGTGCGTTCCCAGCTAGAGTAAAATTGAACGTCAGAACCCGGGGCATGTAGAGTGGTTGGTGGTAGGACTCCCAGCGTCCGCTCTGCGGGAGACCGTGAGAACGTGGGTGCTTACAGGTTCAGATGTTTAACGCGACTCGGTGAGAAACGCGCGCGGGGAGCGTCCAAGGTGGTGTCTGGAAGGCTGTGTCACCTCGCCAAGGACTGCTGGGTCTAGATCCCTAACTGGGAGGCGTTCTCCCTCTCCCGGTGGAACTGACGGGAGTCACTGGGGGGTTTTGTTTTGGAAAAGTGATTCTTGTGAGCCGAAAGCAAAGATGGGCGTCCGCCGGGGGCGGGCTTCCCCCCCCCCCTTTGTTCGGGCCCCGGCGGCGAAGGTGTTGAGCAGCCTGGCGGGGTACCCTCCCGCGGCTCTCCTCGTCCCCCCATCCCCGGAGCCCCCCCTCGGATGCCTCCCGCCCCCCCCCCCCTTGCGCCCCCAGCAGAGAAACGAGGCTGGGAATGTTAGGGGTCAGCGGCCCCGGGCGCGCGAGGTCCTGCTACTGAGCACCGGCTCACGGAAACAATGCAAGGTGACGTGTTGGAGGGGAAACTTTGCGACTGGTTCCGAGCTCGTGCGGGGGAGCCGGGACTGCTGAGATTGCCCGGTTTCTTTCCCTTTTTAGGTTTTCCCGGCAAACCCTAGGAGGGTGGGCAGACCCCTCAGAATGTTGAGCTTCACCGCCGCGTTTCTTAGTTTCTTCTTGTAATCTGAAACTCCTGAAGCACGCCGGTTGTGCAGTTGCAGGGGCCGATTTCGGTTGGGGTGAGGAACTCGCAAGAACAAAAGCTCCCTGGCCGTCCTCCCTCCCCGGCTCCTCCCTCTCCTCTGGTCCTCCTCCGTGCTGCCTCCCCGCCCCCTTCCTAAAACGACCTCGGAGGGGGCCCGCGTTCCGGGGGTGCTCCGCCCGGACCCGGGAAGAAATCGGTGCCGCCTGGCTCGTGGAGTTGGACTATTGTCTGTTTTAGAAAAGTCTATGAAAGTCTGTTCAAGTTTTCTTGAGAACAAAAGCACCTTAAACTCCATCTCAGAGCCGGGGATTTGGTCCTGGTTGGTGATAATAGTATCTCGTCTTTAGAAAGCTGAGGATGCCAAAAAGGTCTCCTCACCCAGCAAATAGCTTCAAAATAAGCAAAGACGATTCAGCGAGGAAAGTCCCCGACGTCTTTTTGCGCCTAGTTTCTGACAATTTGGAATTCCTGCTTTAGACCTGCTCAGGGCTGGCTGGGTCCAACCCGGCGCACCTTGGAGCCTGTGCCTCGGGTTGTTGGAACTAGGCTTCCTGCGGCATCTCCTGTGAGATATTCTAATCAGGAGACTTGTTAGGTTACGTTTCCTGTTTCCTAGTTGTACGCTTGAACTTTTCCTTCGATTATTCCTATTTCTAGATCCTTCTCTAGCCTCTTCTAGATATTTTTAAAAGTCCAAACTTCACAATCACTGTCTCTGGCCTTCTCTCGCCCACCCCCCCACTCCCAGTTCCTAATAAGAAAAGATTGATTTTTCAGAGCTGTGGGATCCATAGGCCATCTTGTGGCTTTCAAAACATTTCCTTGTATGTGGATGGAGTAAGAGGCCTGTGATCCCCCTCCCCCACCACCACATTTTTTAAAGTGTAAGCAGAGCAGGACCTTTGGAAACAGGCGGTAACCGGGAAACTTTTCAAAAGCTCTGTTACAATAGGAAATGAGTAACGTGGAAAAGTCTTTTTGTTTTTCCAAGCGGAGCCACAATCCGGAGGGAGAGTTTTAATGAAAACAGTCCTGACAGCAGCAAGCGTGGTTTGCTGCCCTGAAATATCAGCTGGTGTGGCCAAGGAGCTCAAGTCTTAACTTCCTGTTACTTCAGCTTTTGTGCACATATTGGAAATATTTGTTAAGAGGGCCAGAGGCCTGGCATTCATTTATTTAAATGAACTGAGAACAGAGTAAAGTCGCACTGTAGTTTAGCGTTGCTTAACTGAAACCTGCTTTTGTGTGTCACTAACCCATTCTGAAGGATCAGGCTTCTTGTCAAACTAAACAAGCAGATCAAAGGGCAGGCTTCAGGGTTTTTTTGTTTGTTTGTCTCAGACTCTTTGTTATTATCAACTTACAGTTGGGAATTCACTGTTCAATGAGCAAATTTTCACACCTTTTCTGGTTTAAAAGCGGGGGAGGCGGATTATAGCCTCCAAGAGAGTGTCTGGCTTTTCAGACGTTGAAGAGTTTAAACAAATTGCGTTATTTAAATTTGCCTCAGTCATTCAATTACTTGACACATGTTTAAAAAGTTAGATTGCTTTATTCATCAAAGTAAATGTAAAACAGGAACTCATTTATAATTTAATTTTTTTTATTAATAGCTCTTTACCCAAATTTCAATAAAGGTTTTAAAAGTCGCTCATCTCCTCCACAGTGAAAGCAGTTTCAGTTTTAAATGTGCCTCTTTTTTTTTTTTTTTAAGCAGTTTAATCTTCTGGGAAGGGGAACATCAAATACACTGCGGTTAAAATTTAGGATTCTTGTGTGGTTTATTGATAGCCGGATGTTAAGCCTTGAGCTAAAGTGAATTTGCAAGATCATCCTACTCTTTTGTTACAACTTGCTTTACTTTGTCTTTGGAAGGTTCCTGCCTTTTCTGTGGACACTCCCTCCAGCACCTTCTGCCCCCTGCAGTCCAAAACTAAAAACATGTCACCAAGTAAAGTCAGACTCGATTAACTGTGTGCTAGCTCATAAACAAATCTTTGAATGAGTAGCTTTTGAGTGTTAAAATACTTCAAAAGAATGGGTTAAAAAATTTTTTTAATGCGTCAAATGGTTTATCACTATGTGGAACATTCTGTCTTTATTTTTTATCAAGGCAAACCAGTCTGAATTGCATCTACAAAATCCAGAATGCGTACCTTTACATTTCATGTTATTTTAATTTCCTTTATATAGAAATACTGGTATTTTCAAGCATGGCATGCTTTTCCATTTTAAAAATTCTAGATTGTTTTCAAAACAGAATTCTCAGCCATTCAGAGTTGCCAGTTGTGGTTTTGAAAGGGGTTTGTGGAATTTGTAATTTAAGTTTTTTGAAGTTTCAAAATTATGTTGAAATGTTAAGGGCCAGATGTGAATTTTAGTTGACCCCAGTCTATCATATGTGATGCAAATATTCTCTATGGCTTGTAATTCTTAAAATTTCTGGTAGGATTAAAGTACTTACAACGGAGAGTGTCCTCTGGGGGTTACTATTCCATTTTCTTTGTCATGTAATCATTTAAGACTGAACTCTACTTATTGGTATGTAGTAATCTAGATTCCGATTAAACTGACCATTGAAATTTATAGGAATTTAAAAATGTAATCTGTCTTAAGCATCTTTTGACCTCTTACTCAAGTACTAATCGTAGAAAAATATTTTTGTGTAATGAAACTGAAAGCTTCCATGGTTGGTTGTATTTAGTAAAAGGTTGGCCAATACTGTCCATTAAAAGTAGGCCCCTAAGTTTTGAAGAAATGTAGGTAGCAATGAAAAAGACATGACTGGAGTTGGCAGAAAATGTTGACGTATATTTTGCCTTTAGAATACCAACTGGGTTGTGTGTGATATTTTTTCTCCCCTCCTTATATCCATGGAAAAAATGCATCACTCTGCCCTTTTATGTCAACGCTTCAATGGAAGAAGGAGTAAGAATAGCATTTAAAATGTTCATTAGGACACTTGGATTATCTTTCCTAAGTCAGCAATGACCTCAGAGAAAGTGGCTAGACACATTCCATCTGCTCTAACACCTTTCCTGTTTCTCGTGTGACAAACCATTGAGCGTAGCTCTGTCTCTGCTTTCACCAGACTTTTCTGCGCATCATTCGAAAGGAATGTGAGAAGTTAAATTCTACAGGAAACTGGGTATAAAAGGGCATCTGACAATTGGTGGAGAATCTATACTGTGCCACTAGTCAAGTCACTCTTGAGGCTTTGACATGTGCTCAGATATTTCGAGACGGAAGACACTGGTCCTTTGCTTGTCTCTTGGCAGTTGAGAAAACGTGGTTACACACTCAGTGGCCAAGAGATAAGCTTTTACTGTAGGTGCTACTCCTAGAAAAGCGGTTGATGGTTGGCCTTTGTCCTTTACCAGGTGTTGTGGTAGCTTCGGGCAGTGAGACGGAGGATGATGACAACATGGACATCCCCCTGGACCTTTCTTCCTCTGCTGGTGCGGGCAAGAGAAGGCGCAGGGGCAACCTGCCCAAAGAGTCTGTTCAGATTCTCCGCGACTGGCTGTATGAGCACCGATACAACGCCTATCCCTCCGAGCAAGAAAAAGCATTACTGTCCCAACAAACACACCTGTCTACACTACAGGTAAGGTAAAAAAGAACAGGAGGTGTATGCACATGGGTTGTCTCTTCTCCTTTCCAAAGTCCTTTTACAGCATTCCTGCATATCAGATCACGAAATGCCTCTCCACCCAAAACGAAAAAAAAGAAGGAATATGTTTTTGGTGCTGAAAGCTAATAACTGGCTATTTAGAGAAACAGAAACCACTTGACAGTCATCTGTCAAATAACGTTTCCTTTAATGCCTAAAAGAGCCTTCTTTTATGCAGCAAACATAAAGAAGAGGTTAAATCTGCCTCTATTGCCCAGGAAACTGGTTTGATATTTAAACAAGGACAGACTTCAGTGAGGTAATTCATGTTATGTCTGTTGACACAGTCATTTGAACTGGGAAAAATCAGTAACTGGGAGGAGTGGCCTTTTTCATACAGGAAAAGTTTTCCTGTAGTTGATTAACTTAAATGCTGGGGCAGTATGTAATAGGTTAGTTCTGGGGGATCGTTAAAGGGTAAACTTCCCTCCCTGAAATCATTTTTAGACATTTGAGAATTTTTATCCTTTTCTTCCTCCTGAAAAGGCTTAAGGATGATGGGATGAAAAAGGGAATTTGTATTCGAAAAGGAAGAGGTTTATGGCAGGAAGCAGCTCTCTTTCTTGGTTGCGCTCAAATACCTAGTAACTTTGGAAGTTCCGATTTAAGCCTTTTCATGCCTTCTTTAATGCAAAGAGAGAGAGATCAATTAGGCTTCCCGCAGAAGGTTCTCAGAACGTGTTTGCTGAGTGTTAAAGCACACCCGTATGATTTCAGGTCTGTAACTGGTTCATCAACGCCCGCCGCAGGCTCCTCCCAGACATGCTGAGGAAAGATGGCAAAGATCCAAATCAGTTCACAATTTCCCGCCGTGGGGCCAAGATTTCTGAAGCGAGCTCTGTGGAGTCAGCAATGGGCATCAAAAACTTCATACCAGCTCTAGACGAGAGCCCATTTCATTCCTGTTCAGCTGGACCAAACCCAGCCCTGGGGAGGCCACTGTCCCCCAAGCCGTCTTCCCCAGGATCAATATTGGCTCGCCCATCAGTGATTTGTCATACCACTGTGACTGCATTGAAAGACGTGCCTTTCTCTCTCTGCCAGCCAGTTGGTGTGGGACAAAACACAGATATACAGCAGATAGCAGCCAGCAGCTTTACAGACACCTCCCTCATGTACCCAGAGGACACATGTAAATCCGGACCAAGTACAAATACACAGAGTGGTCTTTTCAACACTCCTCCCCCTACCCCACCGGACCTCAACCAGGATTTTAGTGGATTTCAGCTTCTAGTGGATGTTGCACTCAAACGGGCGGCAGAGATGGAGCTTCAGGCTAAACTTACAGCTTAACCCTTTTTCAAGCAAAACAGTTTTCACAAATGTTGTTATCATTGCCGGGGTGATGGCAAGAGACAAACTGCATTATTTTATATATTTTTTTATTAATATTTGCACATGGGATTGCTAAAGTGAAGCTTCCTGTTACTGAGATGTCTTCAATGGAATACAGTCATTCCAAGAACTATAAACTTCAAAAGCTACTGTAGAAACAAAGGGTTTTCTTTTTTAAATGTTTCTTGGTAGATTATTCATAATGTGAGATGGTTCCCAAGATCATGTGATTTTTCCCCCCTCTCTCTCTCTGTCTCTCTCCTTCCCTTTTTTTTTTTTTTGTTGTTGTTTTTTCCCCCCAGACTGTGCAATACTTAGAGAACCTATAGCATCTTCTCATTCCCATGTGGAACAAGATGCCCACATACTGTCTAATTAATAAATTTTCAATTTTTTTCAAACAAGTATGAATCTAGTTGATTGATGCCTTTTTTCATGACGTAATAAAATATTTTCTTTAAAATTTACTGTCATGCAGAGTATTTTATTGAGGAGGCACTTAAAAAAGGAGTAGGAATATAGCACCCCATGAGCAGGAAGTTGGGGGTAGGGTGGAGTGTGACTTAGGGGGTGTCACCAGCTCTTTGAAGAACCGTGGACAACAAGCCCCGTCTGTATAAACAGGATGTGTGATATTTACTCTTGATAGGAGGTATAAGCAGGCCCTTAAATCTTTACTTAAAAGTGCATGACAAATTGAAATGAATCATTCCATCAGTGCTTAGCTAACCACGAAATCCCTTGGTGATCTGTCCTGCATATTTGAAGACATGGCCAGTGTTAAAACAAGGCCTCGAAGTACCTGATTATGGCTTAAGTCTTCAGAAGCAAACAACCACCCAAGCAGTCCCTCAGTATTTCCCCTTTCACGTTACCCTTTAAATTAACCTTTATCAAGTGGTATGGTTATGTTAGCCTTTACATTCAGATATAGCCCTAATCTGTACTGAAATCACCTTTGAAAACCTCTTAAAGCATTTTCTAAAGTGATTAAAACAGTGGAGTTCTGTCTTCCATGGGATTGTTAGTGTATGAGGTTGGTTTTGTAAGGTCACAGTTGGTGAAAACTGGTGCCGTACACAAGTGGGGTTTGTTGGGTTAGACAATCACATATGAGGCCAGGATAGCCAGAAGGGAATTGGTGGTGTTCCATTCACTTACATGGTTGACCAGAGTTGTCACATGCCACAAAACCATTCTTTGGAGTCATGCTTAGTATGAGGTTTCTTTGTTATTACAGTCATGTTCTTTCCAGCCCTGCTCCAGCTCTGAACTGTCTAAATTTGAGGGCACATCAGAGCTTCTGTACTGTTGAAAGAATATAGAAAACCTTCCAAATTTAAGTTTGTCTAATTTTGTCAACCTATTAAGGAAATCCCTACTGTAGAAAGAGCTAAACTCAGAGGCATGTAAGTAGAAAGGAAACCTGAATCAGGAAAACTAAGAGGTGTAAAAAAAATAAGTGAGGTGAAGGTGTGGTGCTTGAACCCTCTGATAAACCATGAATGGGCTGGTGCCAGGCACCTCCAGGTCACAGGAATAGATCTAAACCAAAAAAAAAAAAAAAAAAAAAAAAAAGAAAAGAAAGAATAAAAAGTGAATAAAAGGAACGTATAAAATAAAAATGGAATGAACAAAGATGACTAAGACTCATTACCTGCTCTAACAGCTAGATCAAAGGCTGAAATTCTTTGAGTACAGATAAGAGAGACCAGCAAATCCTGAAAGACTTCCCTGGTTAAGATGTTTCATTAATCATGCTAGCTGGGGGAGACAAGGAACCATGTGAGTGATTTAAAAGAAAAAATGTCAAGGGTCAGATGAAGCCCAAAGGTTTACAAAAAAAAAAAAGACATCCTCCAAAATTGCTTTATTTGACTTTTTTCCCCCCTCTTGAGGTTGATATATATCCTGGTTGATAATAACTGGTGTGTAATCAATAAATGATTAACAAAACCAAAACAAGTAAATGTAACTGGAATGCCAAATGTAAAAGACCATATAACTTCATGTTGAAGCCAAATAGAAAGGAATTTTGTGCTTAGTGTTTACATGATCTTTTTTCATTTACTTAACTTTTTAAGCTAGTTGTGTTTTTGTGTTTAAAGTTCGTCCCTTTTAGATAGGATACTGTTGGGTTTTGCTTTTTTTAAATGTAGCTAACAATCTCTGCCTTTCACTTGGTGTGTATACTTGATTTATATTTCATTTTTTGTTTCCTTTTTAAGTTTTCATTTTAATTCCAGTTAGGTAACATACAGTGTTACATATATTTCATATAATTTTTAATATGTTTGGATTCAGTTTACCGTTTGAGTTTTTTCTCCCTGTTTCTCTTTTCCTGCCTTTCAGGTTAATTGAATATTTCTAGTGTTTCTTTTTAATTTTTCTATTGGCTTATAAGCCATACTCTTTTTTTTTTTAACGGTTGTTCTGGTGATTACAATATACATCTTTAACTTATCACAATCTATTTAGGGTTTATATTATATAACCTCGTATACAATATAGGCACTTGCAACAGTATAGTGCATTCAGTCCTTTTGTTTTATATATATATATTATAGCTAGATACATAATCTAACAGTATAATGGTCTGATTTTTGTTTTAAATAAGCCCATGTTCTTTGAAAATTAAGGGAAAAGAGAATGTATGTAGTCTTTTATATTTGTTAAATACTTATCATTTCTGGTGCTCTTCATTCCTTCCTGTGAATCCAAATGACATTATCATTTCTCTTCAGCTTAAAGAATTTCCTTGAGAACTGCTCAGGCCCACTGGTGACAAATCATCTGTTTTTGTTCATTGAAAATGACTTTTATTTTACTTTCATCGTTGAAGGACAGTTGATTTAAAGATAGAATTCTGGGTTGATGTTTTTTTCTTTTTCTTTTTCTTTTTCCATCACTTGAAAGGCATTTGTTTTCTGGCTTCCATTGTTTGGGATGATATATCAGTTGTCACTTGTGTCATTATTCTCTTGTATGTAATGTCTTTCTCTGGCTCTTTTATCTTTGTATTTCAGCACTTTGATTATGATGTGCTTAGGTATAGTTTTCTTTGTATTTGTGCTACTTGGGGTTTGTTGAACTTACTGAATCTGTAAGTTGATGTTTTGTTTTGTTTTTTACCAAATTTGAGAAATGTTGGCTATTATTTAAATTTTGTTTTCTGCTTTCTTCTCTCCGGAACATCAGTAGATTTATATTAGATCACCTAACATTGTCCTACATATCTCCAGACTCTGTTTTTCTTCGTTCTTTTATCTCTTTATTTTTCAAATTGAATAGTTTATATAAAGGTTTTTTAAAATGTTTATTTATTTGGAGAGAGAGAAAGAGGGAGAGAGGGAGTGTAAGTGAGGGAGAGGCAGAGAGAGGGAGGGGCAGAAAAAGGGAGAGAGAGAAAATCCCAAGCAAGCTCTACCCTGTAAGCACAGAGCCTGATGCAGGGGCTCTATCTCAGGAACCATGAGGTCATGACCTGAGTTGAAATCAAGAGTGGGGCACTTAACTGCCTTTTTTGTCACAAGCACCCCATGTATTAAGTTATTTTTAATTCACTAATTCCTCTTCTGTCTCCAATGAATTTGCATTTAGTTATTATATTCTTGCATATATAATTTTCATTTGCTATCTTTTTATTTTATTTGTTGAGATTTTCCCATCAGTTTATTAATTACAAGTATATTTTTTTATGAGCCATTTATAATAGGTACTTTAAGTATTTGTTAATTAATATGTCACAATCAGAGTCAGTTTGACTGCTCTTTGCTTCAGGAAGGATCACATTATTTTTTTGCCAGTCTGGTGGTTTTTTAACTGTATGTTGGACATTGTAGATGATACAGTAATGAGGATTCTGGATTCTGCTACATTCCTCTGAAGAGTGTTATTTTTGTTCTGGTAGCCAGTTCATTTGGCTGGACTGAAACTTCAAAATCTGCCTTCCCTGTAGTAAATAGTTGCTCAAATGTTGGATCAGTTCTTCCAGCTCCCAGCTGGTGCCTTTCAGAGAGTGTACTGGGATCTCCCTGCACAAGCTGACCAAGGATTTGGACAGAGTTCAGATTCAGACTTTGAGGTTTGTTCCTTCTCCCTCTTTTCCAGGATTCCTCTCCTAACTTTCTATCTGCTCTGCCAACTCCAACTCTGTCCTTAGTATCTCAGGCCACTGAGGCTGCAGCTTTCTGCCACCTTCTAGCCTTTCAAGGAGGAGGAGAGCCCTGAGGCAGCAAGCCACAACTTGCACATCTTATCCCTTAAAGTTCCCTTCTTGTAAGGGCAAACAACCCTCCAGTTGCTACCTGCTTTTGGTCACTCTCCTGGCCTCCCATTAGCTTTCTGTTTAATTTTTCGTTTACATTTTGTTATATCCTTACCTGCTGGGAAGTTAGTCTCAAAAGAAAAGAAATGACTCTACCATTACTAGAAACTAGAATTTTACTATAGTTACTTTTAAGAGTTCTCAAATTTATCTGCACATTGGAATCACCTAGAAAACTTAAAAAGCAAGCAAACAAACAAAACTCTGTGGCTTGGTTTATTAGCCATTGTTTATTTACATAAGTAGAACACTAGGAGTTGATCATTTATTCTCTCTCCATACCTTAAAATTATTTTTTTCTTTTTTCTCGAAATATTAGATGATTTTTGTTAAAAAATGTAATTTAATGAAGAATTATCGTCTAGGTCAACTTGACCAATTCGAATTCATTTTTGTGAGACAGTGAGTGAGCAGGGGAGGGGCAGAGAGGGAGACCCAGAATCTGAAGCAAGCTCCAGGCTTTGAGCTGCCAACACAGAGCCCGACGCGGTGCTCAAACTCACGAACCGCGAGATCATGACCTGAGCCGAAGTCAGACATTTAACTGGCTGAGTCACCTAAAAGCACCCTGAGCACTGGGAACATATTTATAAATAGACATTTAACTAATAGCGTGCAGGTGAGGGAAATGAAATCATAGAGGGGTTTCAGGAGAAAACTGTTACCTTAGGAAGTTTTGCCAGCTTGGGTTTGGCGTTTTTTAGTATCTCAAAATATTGTCTTTATAAATAAATTCACTGCAACTTGAATTTATTCACATTTGATTGGATCACTCAATTTTATGATCTAAGGACAAATTCAGCTCTTCTATCTTATTTCAAGTTATTGCATACATTTTTAATATAGCTTTATAAATTTATAAAGTTTGTAATTTTAATGTGAGGCTAGGGCTTACACAGACCATAAATAGATAAGCAGAAGATAGTCATTTAACTTGTCATATATGCTCTAAAAAAAAAAAAAAACTGTCTTGCTACCTTTTGATGTGTTACTCTATCTGATCATTAATGTTTCATTGCTTTAAAGTTCTTGCCAATGATTTTTGTTTTGAAATTTGATTTACTCAAATGAGTTCTGTGT